CGCCATCAAGCAAATCTGCATGCTCTAAAATACGCGCCACGACGATTGTCTCCCAGGAAAGCTCGCCCCGGAAAATTCGCTAACGAAAACTTGCCCCGGTAATCGTAACACTAAAAAATAACCCTGTCCTCCGGAAACCTTCCTTCAAAGAAAATTGGAATAATTCTCCTTTCTGATTTCGTTCTATTTCCGAAAGAAGTCTGAAACAAGACAAATATTTCGGAGACATTTTTTGTTGTATATATTTTACAGTAGTATTCTGGAATATCAAATTTTAGCAAAACTCAGACATCAAATTATATTATATCTCAAGGATGTACTCTATTGGTGAAAAACAACTTTTGAAGCTCCAATTTAAGGAAGTATTGAAAAACAATTTTCTCATATACCTGTAACTACTTTCATTTTATTACGCAGTAAAGTTTTTTCGCAAGTCAGAGACCTTTCTTTGAAATGAAGTACAAGAATAATACCTACACAAATGTTAAACTTCGTAAGTAAGTATATGCTTTAAAGTTATAAGTCGCGTATCTTTCAAAAACGACGGTAGGTACGATTTGTTCATAATTGAATTTTCTCGATTTCAATGAGATCTGAATGGTTTCACGTCTAAAGAATATTACATTTACCAGCGCAGGTAATGTAACATTTTCACTTTGTTGCCTTACTGTGAACTAATTCTGGACGCAATAGCTTTTCATCTAAATATCGCGAAAACGCGATGTAAAGATCGTAAAGCTAAAAACACATAATAATAAATTTCATTTACCTAAAACTTATTAAATCGAGCTTAAGAATAATTAGGAATAACGTTTAAATTTCATTTTAAACTGTGCAAGCAACAGCAAACTGTAAGTGCCTTACTTTACGGCAAACATTTATAAGAAGTAATGTAGACTTTTCGTGAAATGCGCCCAGGCATTACAGAGTTTCAAAAAGTTATAGAGATGGTTCTCCTATCTATATTTAAGCCATATATTTAAGGACCTGCAGCGGCTGCAGCATAAGAACTTTGGCTATAA